TTAATGTGGCTTTATACAACACAGATAGAATGCCAGGAATTGTTTTATTTCTTAAAGATTTTAAAAATTATGTGTACATATATGTGTCTGTGTGGGAGTCCATGCATTTGAGTACAGGCGCCCTCAGAGACCAAGAGGTGTCGGATTCCCTAGACCTAAAGTTACAAGTGGTTGTGAGCTGGCCCATGTGAGTGCTGGGAACCAAACAAGGGACTTGTGAGACATCTCTTAACTGCTGAGACATCTCTCCAGCCCTGAAGCCTTGCTGTTTGAAGGTATTCTATAGTGAATCTTTTGAACAGAAGTATATCCACTTTACCCTTATATCCTCCCCATGACCACCAAGAATTTTTTAAAATTTGTGTCATCTTTTTTTTTTTTTTTTTTTTTTTTTTTTTTGGTCTTTTTTGAGACAGGGTCTCCTTGTAGCCCCAGCTGTCCTGGAACTCACTATGTAGACCAGGCTGGCCTCAAACTCACAAAGATCCACCTGCCTCTGCCTCCCAAGTGCTAGGATTAAAGGCGTGCACCACCACGCCTGGCTATTATGTTTTGGATTTCTCAGTCAATGGTAAATTTACCACAAAGAAGGTAGCAGGTCCATCAGGAATAGAATGCAGCAGTCAGAGGAAACTTAAGGTAGCACTTTATAAAGCCCTCAGAGACAAAATATTACATTGATGATTTCATCAAGTGTACACCCAGTAAGAACTCAAGAAAGCTTAATGATAAGAAATCAGCAAGCTCATGAGTTTTCAAAGCAAATTATCTAAGTCATAATACCCAAGGATATTTAAGTAAAAATATGACTTTTTAACAAAAGATGTCAAAGTAGCTTTGGTGTTTAAAAAAACAAGACTAAGCCAGGTGAGGTGGTGCATGCCTTTAGTCCCAGCACTCTAGAGGCAGAGACAGCCAAATTCAAAGCCAGCCAGGTCTACGTAGTGAGTTCCAGGCCAGCTGGGGCTACAGGGAGACCCTGTCTCAGAAAGACCAAAAAAAAAGAAAAGACAAGTTGTGCCTCATGCTTGTAATCCCAGCAACTGGGAGGCAGAGGCAGGAATATCAGGAGTTCAAGGCCAGTTTCAGCTATATAATGAATGAGTTCAGGGCCAGCCTCAGCTATATTGAGACTATCTCAAAAAAGCCAAAATGAGATCATTGGAATTGCCTAGAATTAGTAGGGAGATCAACAGTAGTGTAGAGAGCTGTTTACAAAATGAATTCAGATGCAGATTTGGGGGAGAAAGGTTATGAATTTGGTGAAAAACATAAGGCATGGTTGGTGATGGAACAGGTCTATAGTCACAAAGTAACACAAGAGTCCTCTGCAGCAAGTATCTCTCCTGGTCTTCTTGCCCTACAAGTGTGAATCAGACTTATCAGCAAGAATAATTTTACAGGGCTGGTGAGATGGCTCATCTGGTAAAGGTACCTGCCACCAAGCCTGACAACCTGACTTCAATCCCTGGGTCCCACATGATCGGAGGAGAGAACTAACTCCAGAAAGTTATTCTTTGACCTCCACAGGCATGCTGTGTGGCACATGCTCACCCTCCCACCCCATACCCCTCTAAATAAATGTAAAAAAAGTTTTAAAAAGAATTTCACAGCGCTCCATTCCCAAAAAGGGACCTTACTATATAAACGAATAATTATCTCAAACCCATAAAAAGAGATTCTTAGGACTACAGAGATGGCTCAGAAGTTAAGAGCACTGGCTGCTCTTGCAGAGGACCTAGGTTCAATTCCCAGCACCCACATGGTGGCCAACGACCATCCCTATCATCAGTTCCAGGGGATCCAACGCCCTCTTCTGACCTCTGCAGCCACTGCTCACACAGGTGCATTTACACATACACAGACAATACACTCATACACATAAAATTAAGCAATAAATATTTTAATCTCCCCACTGGGAAAGAAGAAGACAGGAGGATCAGGAATCCAAGGGTCAAAAAATTAACAAAAATTGGGGGCTGGAGAGATGGCTCAGTGGTTAAGAACACTGGCTGTTCTTGCAGAAGACCCAGATTTGAATCCCAGCACCTACATGGCAGCTAACAACTGTCTGTAACTCCAGTTCCAGGGAGTTACTCCAACAGCCTCTTCTGTCCTCCAAGGGCATTGCATGACACAAGTGCACTTACATACATTCAGGCAACACACTCATACACATAAAATAAAAATAATAAAGCTGGGCGTGGTGGCACACTCCTTTAATCCCAACACTTGAGAGGCAGAGGCAGGCGGATTTTTGTGAGTTCGAGGCCAGCCTGGTCTACATAGTGAGTTCCAGGACAGCTGGGGCTGCAGAGAGACCCTGTCTCAAAAAGACAAAACAATAATAATAATAATAATAATAATAATAAATATTTTTAAAAAACAAAAATTACCCATCACCACCACTAAAAAACAAGTTGGGTCCAGCCTGGGCTACATGGTAAGTTCAAAGCCAGCCTGGGCTTCGTACCAAGACCACATCTAAAAAACAAAATAAAAACAACAAAAATGCAGCTCTAAAACAAGTCTATACCAATATTTGCTTTCAACAGTTTTTTAAGGAAATACCTACATGGAAATAAAGTAATCTAAAATATGTTGCCATATGCATCTCTGATAAAACTCTTGTCAAGGCAGGACATACAAACAGTACTCTCTGTATCAAATACTCTCTGAAGTGTGCAATTCCCTAAGATCTGAGTACTTAGAACCCAATGAATGTCTTCTGCCATAGGCTGACAAACAACAGCCATGGGTTAAATGGAGGTACAGTCTGTTCTTGTAAATAAAGTTTTACTGGAATATAGCCTTTTAAAACATAAAACATATTTTCTATGGCTTTCTTTCTTATTTATTTTTTACTTTTTGGGAAAAAGGGTTTCATTATGTAGCCCTGGCTGGACTTAAACTTGCTACATACACCAGGCTGGCCCCAAACTCACAGCATTCTGTCTGCCTCCACCCCCCAAGTGCTAGGATTAAAGTTCAGCATCATCATGCCGGACTATGGCTTTCTCACTGGTTACCATGCTGCTGAACTGCAGAGCTGAAGAGCCACAATAAAGGCTAGTAAATATTTACCACTTAATCCTATGCTATGAAGAGTTCAACTACTCCTGTCTCAGGGCATGGTGTTCAACTACTGGGAAGAGTTCAACTACTCCTTGATAAGGGCATGGTGGCAGATACCTATAATTCCACTTACTTAAGAAGCTGAGGTAGGAAAAGTTCAAGGCCAACCTGGGCAACATTAGTAGGACCTCATCTCAAAAGAAGAGAAAAAGAGTGTAACAAATTTATGACCAATGTGTTTACCTTGAAATGAAACACTGGAAGTGGTGAAAAGAGTCAATGAAATCTTTCCCCAAACATCCAAGTACAAACCTAACTAGAAATAAGCCTATGCTGATGAATTTCAAAATTATATCAATCTTGACTAAAAATTAAGCTTTAAAAGTGAACAGTGAATGTAGTTAATATTCAAAAACTGCTACACTGCTGGCATGATGTTGCACTCAGGCAGCAGAGGCAGAGGATCTCTGTGAGTTCCAGGCCAGCCAGGGTGACATAGTGAGACCCTGTTCCACAAAATAAAAGAAAATAAAAAAACCCAACTAACCAAACAACAAAAAACCCTGCTACACTAATGCAATCAAGACACAAACTCTCTGCACCCCCACTGTCACTTGTCAGCTCACCAATCAGGAACTGATTAGCTACCCCTTTACTCTCTACACTGGCATCCTAGAACTCACATCAACCAGTAAACTAGGTTATTATCTTATAAAAGTTTGTCTTCAGTTTGTTATATGACATGGTAAATGAAGTTTCTGGAAATATCTGGCTTGCTCCATTCTTACTAGACTCATGGTCCCAGAGGCAGGTACAAGTGACACTTGCCTGTTGTCCCAACATGGAGAATGCCTGAGGCCCAGGAGTTCAAGACTAGCCTGGGCAACAAAATGAAACCCTGTCTCAAAATTTTTAAAATTCCAAAACTAATATACCAAGCATATGAACGAATTTCATCCAAAATAAGTTCTGTTGGATGTATCATCCCTTCTTAAAATTATGTAAGCAAAGAAAATTTATTTTTTTCCGGCAAGGCACAATGAAAGCTGCCTTGAACAAAGTATTCTAAGTATCAATGAAACAATTCTTGTTTGGTTTTAGGTTCAGTTACATTCTTTTACAACTACTATGGCATTATGATTAGGACTTAGAAAGTAACACAATAGTGACAAGGTAATATTTTATTTTGCTGTAAAGTTATACCTATGAACTAGCATATAAATCTATCAAATAATCCAGGGTTATGTTTTAATATATTCTTAAGAGAACTCGGTGTCAATCATACAAAATATAAAAGTTGATAAACAATTGTTACTCTTCTTCAGCTGACAAATGAGATAATGGGGAAGTCTATTTATTTATTTATTTATTTATTTATTTTGGTCTTTTTGAGACAGGGTCTCCCTGTAGCCCCAGCTATCCTGGAACTCACTATGTAGACCAGGCTGGCCTTGAACTCACAGAAATCCACCTGCCTCTGCCTCTGAGTGCTAGGATTAAGGGCGTGCACCACCACGCCCGGCTTTGGGGGAAGTCTTAAACACACTCAATTCTTGAAGAGGCCCCGGATGATCAATCTAAGGCATGTTCCTACTCCTCAGTGCTTAAAAGATGCAGCAATTGCCTGGTCCCTCGACAAAACCAATGTAGTTAGAGGTTGTAAGCTCATGTTAACATAGGCTTAAAATAAGCATTTTACAAGGTCAACATGATGCCAAATGATCGCAATACAATTAAGTGACTTCCTAATTACATATTCACACCGTTCCCCCTTAGCTCTCTCAGTTCTTTTAAAGAAAACTGAAAAACAGTATTTTAAAGTACAATCCAGTGACAATCATTTTACCACAGATCACAAGATTTACATAGAACTCTTATTTTCTGCTTTTTAAAAAAACAAGTCAGAACTTGATTCTTTTTCTCACCTGCAGGATATTCGAAACAAACAGGTCCTAAACACCCTTCAAACCTAAACAGTTTTCAGAAGGCTTGGTTTTGTCATGAAGTTGATATATGTGAGCTCCCAAATGGGGCAAATTAAGACTAGGACAAGCAACGAGCCCAGATCTTTAGGGAGACATAGGCAAGAAAAAAATGGAAGCCCCGCCCAGTCCTCAACTTTCTCCGCTTTCCCAGTTCCAGTTTTCTCTTTGCAAAACCTACAAAAGCAGAACTTCCCCTAACTACCTTGCCTCTACCCGAGGCCTGGGACAGAAACTCAGACAGCCAGTTGCCCTCCTTAAGGTAGTCTCAAGGTTCAAGCCCGATCAGAAACAGTAGAACGGTTAGCTTTCTGGGGTTAAAGGAGGACGAACACAGGGTTTGGCAGCAGGATTGGTCAAGCAGCCCAGAGCGGAGCAAGAGGGAGAACACTGAGACTAAGCTCCATCTAGTCCCAGGACCCGCCCCCTGGGAGGCTAGACAGCTCTCGGTACTTCCCTGCCTCCTCTGCTTGGGAGAGGAGGGCGGTAGGTCGGGGTCAGGCTCCCGTGAGCTACTTCCTGGTCCGATCCGACTCGCCTTCCGACACCAGAACCGCCCCCGGACCGGCTCCCTGCCCTTTGCCCTGTCTCCTCCCCTCTCGATGACCCCCC